TGAAATAAAATAATAACTTTATTAGGCTTAGCGTATATTGTAAGCTTTGATTATTTTTTCATGAACATCTAATTATAAATCGGTGTTTTTGTGGTCGTACTAATACTTGCCATTTCCTAATTCATTAGTAAAAGATAACTTCGCGTTTATCATAATGCAATTAATAATATCTAATCTCGCAGCTTTCAATTGTGTCACTCCCTCGTTTGTTTTTTTACTTCCTCTTTGGAAATGGTTTTGTTGTCACGTTCTTACCGGAAGCAAAGACTACTCTGGCTCACGAAAAATAGGAGACAGAAAACAAAGAACAACAGAAACAAAACAAAAAAGTAACTGCCAACTTCAGAACTGTGACTGTATTTCTAATTTATTAGAATATAGATAAATGTTCATAAAAACCGTAGATTACAAGACAAGCTATAGCTAATACTTGTCGCCGATCCCGACTGTAAGGTGGGGAGGGGATATTTTGTACAAGAATTGTCTCTATTACGTATCCCTTACTAGATTAGTCTTTAGTTCTGATTTGTTTCGATGTGTTGCTTTGATCAGAAGTTAATGACTTTTCCAGTAGAGGTCTCTCACATCCATTGGGTAACAAAATTATTTACATCTGGTTTTCTTATATATTGAAACATATGTACCATATCTATATATATGTACCATATCTAAATATGTACCATATCTGTTCGCGTACCAGATCTATATATGTGCCATATCTATTCATGTACCATATTCGTACATGTACTATATCTATATATGTACCATATCTGTATGCGTATCAGATCTATATATGTACTATATCTATCTTTGCACCATATCTATATATGTATATGTACTATATTTATATATCGACCATATCTGTATATTTACCATGTCTATATATATGTGCCATATCTATATATGTACCAGATCTATATATGTACCATATCTGTATATTTACCATGTCTATACATGTATCATATCTATATATGTCCTATATCTGTGTATGTACCATGTCTATATATATGTACCATATCTATATATGTACGATGTTTATAAATATGTACCATATCTATATATGTACCATGTCTATATATATCTGTACCATATCTATATATATGTACCAAATCTATATATATGTACCATATCTATATATATGTACCATGTCTGTATGTGTACCATATCTATATATATGTCCTATATCTATATATATATATATACCATATCTGTATATGTACTATATCTATATGTATAATATATCTACATATGTACCATATCTGTATGCGTAACAGATCTATGTATATACCATATCTATTTATGTACAATATCTATATATGTACCAGATCTATATATGTACCAGATCTATATATATGTACCATGTCTATATATATATATATATGTACCATATATATATATATGTACCATATCTATATATATATCTACCATATTTATATATGTACCCTATCTGAATATGTACCATATTTGTATATGTACCATATCTATATATGTGCCATATCTATATATATGTACCATGTCTATATATATATATGTGTCATATCTTTATATGTACCATATATATATATATATACCATATCTAGGTATATGTACCATATCTATACATAAGTACCATATCTATATATGTATCATATCTATATATATGTTCCATGTCTATATATAAACTATTCACACTTGAAAAACAACAACAAAAACTATCAAACTCAGAATTAAATTAGTTATATGAAAACAAACAACTGAATCTCGGTTATGATTTCCTTTTTATCGTATATTGATCATTTATTTAGCATTGTTTATTTCAAACCTTGGTTTAATTAACACCCCAATTTTTGTTGTAGTTTTTAAGTTTTTATGGAAATGCTTATAATATTGAAAGAGTATTACCGATATGTTAATACTTCGAAACCATCTTTGAATCATTTGCTCTATTCGAACACTAAATACTCAATATTTAATTACTAAATATTCAAGTTCATAACAAGTTACTATGAGGTTGTTTTTGTTGTTTGTAACGTGTTACAATGTGTCCCAAAGTTGGCATGAACCCTTACCCAGGGTGCAATTGTCTCTCTGTGTCCCAAAGTTGGCACGAACCCTTACCCAGGGTGCAACTGTCTCTCTGTGTCCCAAAGTTGGCACGAACCCTTACCCTGGGTGCAACTGTCTCTCTGTGTCCCAAAGTTGGCACGAACCCTTACCCAGGGTGCAACTGTCTCTCTGTGTGTCCGCCTTTCATGCTAATAGTTTTTTGATTGATCTCAATCAAATTTGATATGCACATTACGGATGGCCCTCCGAATAGTGTCAAAGAAGGAGGAGGGGGCATGCAGGTCTCGCTTCCCCCACCTTGTCTCTTGAGGCCCCATGTCTTCCCCGTGTGTTGAACAAGCACGTCAACTAGTAGATATATATATATATATATATAATTACTTATTATAAGTATCATTTGGTACTGTTAGCTAAGTATATGGATTTCAGATTAAACTAAATATTCTCAGTTCGCCGAACCACGTGAGATGTTTTTTCGTATTACGGCCGAAAGTGTCACCAACAGGGCTCACAGTATCAGAGTAAAGAAACATTAGATTGTTTTAGTAATAAGCTGGAATGGTATATTAATAGCTATATTCGTTACCAGGTTAACCTTCACTTTTGATCTATGTTTGATCAGAAGTGGATGATAACTTACAATGGAAATCTCTCAGATCACTTTGTTATCAAAATATATAACGTCTTACCTTTTTTATATCAGATTTATGTACCATTGGAGAAGAATAGTAAGTGCAGAAATAAACTATCTGTGTGAAAACAACCATCTGAACTGAGCGAGTGAGTTTGTATTGAACGTATTTAATAATTTGCAGTTAAAGTCTGAATACTTACATCGATAAAAGTAGGGTTTCTAAACCTTTACTTGGCACGGAATAGATAGCCTATCGTATAGCGTTGTGTTTAACAAATAAGCAATAATGTTCATTTTCTTTTTACAGAGTAGCTGTAGACGCTTTTGGGTGCGTAGACAGTGTTCTCCACCTGTAGCTATGACGTCAGAGACGTTTACAAGGGTTTAATTGAAACTTTTATGCAGGAATCTCATTGTTTTGAAAATTTGGAATTAAAGATATTGTTACGACAGCGGAAGTCACGCAACGCTGGGAGCATGCGCGCTGGAGTTTCTAGAAGGATCGTGACTTAGCGGGCAACCTAATGAATGTCCCAGCGTTTGCTAGACGCTCTCTTTTTAGTATATAAGCCGGAGATAGATTGAAGAGAAAGAATGGAGATAATCGAGTCAAGCGAGCAGTAGGCACCGTAAGTAAAGTGTGTGAATCGCTGTGAATTATAGCGTGTATTTATAAAAGTAGTTAAGTTTAAAGTGACTGTGGAAACTCAGTGTGTTACAAAGTTTGTAACGAGAAATAATAAACTAGTTTTAATTAAGAAAAGACTTGTATCGCTAAAGTTTCTCGGAAAGAATTTTTACGGGAAATTATCAAACAAGCAGATACATAACAAATTGGTGTCAGAAGTGGGACGAAAAAAAAAGGAAACGAGAAGTGGCAAATCAAACTACAGCTTAACAGATTTGATGGCAGCAATACAAGAACAGCAAAATAAACAAGAAGAGAGATTACAGCAGTGGTTAGAGGAGAAAGAAACGAAACAAGAATAGAGGCTACAGCAGTGGTAAGAGAAGAAAGAAAATAAACAAGAAGAGAGGCTACAACAGTGGCAACTGGAACAAGAAAGTATCCAACAGTTGCGGGAAAGTCAGCAACAACTACAGGAAAGTCAACAACAGTGACAAAAAGTACAAATGGTAAACATTAATAAATTTCAAAGTGAATTAAATACATTAAAGGATGATTTACTGTCTTTTACACAAGGAGGATATATTAGCCATCGATCTAATCAGCCTCAGACAACGGGAAGCCCCTTCCAGACCCTGCAGCTAAACCTAATGCAGACATCTTTAGTCCTGTTAGAAGTCATATCCCAGATATGAATGTCAGTAATAGGTG